TAGACATATCAAATCAGTCTCATTTAGAAAAGATTGTATAAAACCAAAAATTGTCCCGTAGTATAATGTTACTTAATAACAATTGTAAACTATAAAATATAAATGTCTTAGAGAATGATACAATTTGCAAACTTTTATATATAATAAATAATCGTTAAATTTTTAAAATTACTACTTTTAGAAAACAAATTACGGGACGGGTTAAGAAATTACAGGACGGCTTATATTTCAGAACGGGGTTATATGGTGGACGAGTTTGAATCAATATTTATAAAATTTTAAAATATCATTAACACGCCGTTTTAATACAGATTAAATCCTCAGTTTATTAAAATATAAATGTCTTAGAGAATGATACAATTTGTAAACTTTTATATATAATAAATAATCATTAAATTTAAAAATCACTACTTTTAGAAAACAAATCAAGGGACGGGTTATAAAATTACGGGACAGGTTATATTTCGGAACGGGTTTATATGGCGGACGGATTTAAATCAATATTTATAAAATTTTAAAATATCATTAGCATACCGCTTTAATACGGGTTAAATCCTCTGTTTATTAATAACTGTCTCGTGGACTCGTGGTATTCTGTTACTTAATAACAATTGTAAATTATAAAATATAATTATTTTATAAAGAGATACAATTTAAAAATTTTTATATATACTAATTTAAAAAAATAAATCATCCCGCAGTGTATTTTGGGTTAAAATCTAGTTTAATTGTATTTTGGGTATCAAATTCAGTTTTTTTTGTTCGGTTCCGGTATCAAGGATCTAATCAAAAATTTTGGTTATTTTTTTGTTTGGTTCGATTCAGTTCTTAGGATTCATGTATTTTGCCCAAAAAACCTAACCGAAATTCCCCAACATGTAGGTTCCGTTCAAGAGTGTGGAGTTCAATCGTTCAATCGAGGCGCGTGGGATTCCGTCCTCCGATTTGATATGTATAACACCTGCAGCTGGATGGTTTGGACCGGACGAGGAAGGGCGAAGAGTCATCAAGATCCAATGTTTTTCAAAGAAAGACACCGTCAATTTCTACATGAGACCCATTGAAGGACTTTATCTAACGGTCGATATGGACAAATTAGAAATCATCAAGATTGTTGACAATGGCCTGGTTCCAGTCCCCAAGTCTACCGGTACAGAATATAGACATGGATTTTTGAATGAAACAGTACATATGGACCGCGTCAACCCAATGTCGATGGAGCAGCCTGACGGTCCAAGTTTCAAGGTTGAAGATGGATACTTGGTTAAGTGGGCGAATTGGAAATTTCATATTAAACCGGACCAACGTGCCGGTATGATCATCTCACAGGCTTCAGTTCGTGATTCCAAGACAGGTAACGTCTCAAAATACACACTTACTTGATATAACATTCCATTAGAGAAGAAAAAAAACACATTTACTTGATTTGCATTTTTGTATCATTATTGCGTATTTGTGTGCCAACCAAAAAAAAAATAAAGAACATTAAAATAACAATAAACTATATCACAAAGAAGCCCATTGAATTTAGTCATTGACGGTATCTTCGCTTCTCCAACAGGTGAAGCAAGAAGTGTGATGTACAAAGGTTTTGCGTCGGAGTTGTATGTACCATACATGGACCCAGAGGAAGGTTGGTACTCCAAAGCTTTTATGGATGCTGGAGAGTTTGGTTTAGGACCTACTTCAATGCCGCTTGTGCCACTCAATGACTGTCCTCGAAACGCTTACTACATTGACGGTGTCTTCGCTTCTCCTAAAGGCGATCCCATCCTTCAGCCTAACATGATCTGCTTGTTTGAACGCTACGCCGGCGACACTAGCTGGCGACACTCTGAGATTCTTCTCCCTGGTACAAATGTAATGTTCTATAACACAACATGATTATTATTTTATATATATATAATATGATACGAGGAGCGGTGCTTATGAAAATGTAATTTGAATATCGACAGATAAGAGAGTCAAGGGCAAAGGTGACATTGGTGGCTAGAATGGCGTGTTCGGTTGGGAACTATGACTATACGTTTGATTGGGAGTTTCAAATGGATGGTTTGATTCGCGTTACGGTATGATTACATACATTATATATGCTTATCCTTTCAAACTTTCTCTTAAAAGTTGTCATAATGAAAAACGTTATAAATTAGGTCGCAGCCTCAGGGATGTTGATGGTGAAAGGGACGCCTTACACAAACGTACAAGACTTGGGTGAGAAAGAAGCTGATTCTGGACCTTTGATCTCAGAAAACGTTATAGGAGTCGTCCATGATCATTTCATAACGTTTCATCTAGACATAGACATTGACGAGCCCGCCAACAACTCCTTCGTCAAGGTTCATCTAGAGAAGCAGAGACTTCCGCCTGGTGAATCAAGGAGAAAGAGTTACTTGAAGGCCAAGAAATATGTAGCCAAGACTGAGAAAGATGCTCAGATCAAGTTGAGCATGTACGACCCCTACGAGTTCCATCTTGTGAACCCTACTCGTCGATCTCGTTTAGGGAACCCGGCTGGTTACAAGCTTGTACATGGTGCTAATGCTGCTAGTTTGCTTGATCATGATGATCCGCCACAAATTAGAGGGGCTTTCACAAACAACCGGGTACTCGGTTAAGTTTGGTTTGACATGGTTCAAAAAAATTGATGTATAATTGATGAAGCTGGATCAATTGGTTTAGATATGGGTGACACGGTATAACCGGTCAGAGCAATGGGCTGGTGGCCTTTTGATGTACCAGAGCCGTGGTGAAGACACGCTACAAGTTTGGTCGGACCGGTACGCACTTGAGTAAATTGCTACTGAATTGAACCTACTTTCTTGGTTAATTCTTTGACTAAAAGCTTTATCTTAACTTCTGTTTGTGTAATGATCAGGGATCGTTCGATTGAGAATGAGGACATAGTGTTGTGGTATACATTAGGGTTCCATCACGTACCGTGCCAAGAAGACTTTCCGATTATGCCAACGATAGCAGCTAGCTTTGAACTTAAACCGGTTAATTTCTTTGAATCAAACCCGATTCTTGGGATCACACCTTTCTTCGAGAAAGACTTGCAAGTCTGTTGACTAGATGTTTCATCTAACTCGGACACCTTGGATTTTAAATGTCATTATTTAGACTTTTGCAATAAAATAATCTTGTGTTATATGGCTGTTTAGCTAAGATAGCTAGAATCATAGTCTCAATAGGCCACAAATACTCTCTCATTTATCTTTTGACCTAAGATTTTCTTAATAGGTAGGGAGTTTACCTTTAATCATGGTGAAGAAAATGAACAGAAATTTCAGTATTGTGAAGTACGTATGGAAGTAGTGAAAAATGGCCTGCGAACTACCATAGCTAAGCGGACACCTCTTTAGTTGCTTCTAGTTTTGCTAAATATAATTCAAAACATGTCGCTAAAAGCTGCACACAAGCGTAAGAAACACATTTAAGAGATGAACAGTTAAGAGATGATGATGGATTAAGAAATATGGTAAGAAGAATTATGGATAAGATTTGGAATCCATCTTATAGGGTTTTGAACATTTCTTTTGAGTAATTTGAAGATGAGGTTGTATCTAAAGACATGCAGACATAGCACATTCGTGCTTCCCTGTCTCACTAGTCACTATCGTTTTGCATTATATTTGCTTTGGGATTGAAAATGTGACCACTCTAGAATGAGGAACGACTAGGGAGGTGTTTCTATCTAGTTGCAATTTTTAACAAGGAAATGAGGTTAATCTCAGAAACAGAATATTGTAGAGTTTTCACTCGCAGTGACTAAGTTAGAAAAAGAGAGACCATAGACTCTGCAATATCAGTTTCGCATCCATTACGTATGCCAGATTGAATCAGAAAATCAATAAGGTGTGTAAATGGACGCTTGTTTTTTTTTTAACTACAAATTCCATTTTCAATTATCTTTTTCAGCAACCAAGTCAATGGAAAATAATGTTCGAACTTCCTCCTTACATGAATCTACACATGCAAGAAGTTGTTGAATCGTACTGTTGCCAAATTTGAAACACATGCATAACTACATAAGACAGCTTTGGGATTCTTCTAGTTTGGCCAAAATATCATATCATCCCTAGCCACTGTAATATTGTTCTTATATACGCAAATGTATACTACTCAAGGTTGCATCAAATCGTAAAAAACAAACATTTCAGAAAGATCGGCAAGAGAAATACCCTCTAATCACTACTATTCTGATGATCTGATCTATCCGACCAATCCCCATAGGCAAAGCCGCACTAACGAAAACAAAGAAAGAAAGAGTTGGATACCTTTCGGACCGGTTATCGAGGATGTTAGTCCATTGGCGATGGAGTATCATAATTTAAAAATGAACTTGGTAGAACAGCGCATTCAAAACACGTCAAATGCAAAGAACCAAACTATAGACTCTCAACAAAAACAGCTTATTAGAATAACTGAAAGTGAAAAAACACTACCAAACTAGTACAGCAAGTTCACAACCTATATCAGCAAAATCAAAATCATTCATCGAGATTCAGCAGAAGTGAAAACCATGAAAGTTAAAACTTCTCAAGCAGCCAATCTACAATTCAAATGTTAAATATAGCCAAATGTGTTACAATTACATAACTTCATTTTCAAAAAACCAAGTTTTGAACATGAAAGTACACAAGGCAAACAAAAATTTGTTTGCTCATTCTTATAGAATTTAACTCCATGTTAAACTTTTTTTGGTTAAATAATAGAAAATGGTGTATTTCAATATTAAAATATAAGAAGTTTCAAAAAGAAAGACGTATAATAATGTAGTCAGAAATTTCCTTTGTACCTCCCAACAATGCATCTCACTCTTAGAAGCTCTAAATACTAGTTAAAGTTACTCTACACAGCCATCAAGTAATAATATGTATTTAAACAAAAGATAACGGGTAAGTATCCGCTCGAATCAACTAATTAGGAAACCAAAACTCAATAAGTAAAAAAGATAACCAATGCAAGTAGGAACTAAACAGTAGAGAAGAAGTAATATGTTACACCAAGAAGAAAAGATGATCGATCAAATCAAATTTTTGACTCCTTATACTCAAAAGTATAAAGGAATCAGACCAATGTTAAGGTGGATCTAGCTGAAACCGTACAAGTCTGACCAACTCTTGGAACAGTGTCACATTTCCATGAGAGGCAATGCCTGAAATAATAATCTAACAAGAAATACTAATGTCATGTTACTTTGTATCCTTAAACAAGTAGAATACGAAGATAATGATCTAACAAGTCAATATTAAAGTCCCTTCTCAGCCTTCTATAACTACCCTATGATCCCTATGGCCAGAAATGTACGATCTCCGATGATGTTCAATGTCCTGCGTTTTAATTTATCCATCCATTAAGAAAGAACATATTGATCCACACGAAATCGAGAGATAATAATATAGGACTTAAAACAGGGAAAGGGACGAATAAGGATAGATCAAAGCCCTCCTTCGACTCGAAAAGGTCACAATGGAGGTTGCATCCCTCTGGATCTTCAACATACGTATAATGAAGGGGAAGTCAACCATATAAAAAAGAGAAGCCAGCATCACAAGCATGTATGATTAAAGATTCGGAAATAAAAAATGCCTAACATATAAAGCCATCCTCGACGACGACGAGACCAATGCTTTTCTCTTGAAACCTCAAAAAACTTAAACTAAGTATTTTGCATTAAACAGAGAAAGCCAACAACACTAGGAAATAACTAGAAACAATGATTATTAAAAGCATGAAGACGAAAAAATCTGAAAGGAACTGTTTCAGCGTCCTCCACATACGGGTGATAAAGAAAGCTAGTTCATAATATATGCCAACAAAATCAACTTAAACCCTGCAAAAAAAGCAGCCTCATATAATCGAAAATAAGGAAAGACAAAATAAGAAATTCCTATAAAACCAGAGGCAATCTCAAACACAACTGAGAGAAAAAGAAATTTTAAAATTAAACCTATGAACCCACGAAGGACAGAATGATCTTACACCCTATAAGGCTATAACCAAGAGATGTAACACATAACCAAGAGGTATCTAGAATTAAACCTATGAAATCACGAAGGACATAATCATCCATAGCAAAAAGAAGCTCTATGGATTGAAAGTAGACGAAAAAGGTTAGCAAGTCTGAAAGAAATCAAGGCTAGCAAGTCTGAAAGCAACTTCTTTTGCGTCTACCACATACTTATAATAATGAGTAGTAATTTAAATAAAAAGATAAGCCTCCAACAAGAATATGTGACTATGACTTAGACCCTAATAAAACATTTAGTCAAAGAACCTAAACAACCAGAGTGAGTTCAGGAAACAACAACTATTGCAAAACAATCCTCCAAAGCAACCTAAAGCAAGAGCCAAAATATTAATGATAACCTAACACAAAGAAGTGAACCCATATAATCAAGAGGAGAAGAAACTGATTTACAACTACTTTGGCCAACTAATCACAAAGACCTTCAACATCACATTATCTCGCTGAAGAACACTGAGAAATGTTAAAAATTCTTAAAGAGTATTTTGTAACATTAAATCTACAAGTATCTAGAATCATCGACACCCTATGACCAAGAGATGTAACACAGAAATCAACCAAAACAGCTTACATATCAAACTAATGAAACTTATCCAAAGACAATCGCTTAAAAACCAGAGAAACAACGGCGAATAAAATAAATAGCCAAGTCAAATCTAATGAAAACCATATGTAGGCCACAATTCAAAAGAGGCCAATGTTACAGAATAAGGACTTCGCTGCAACAAATTACAAACGAGAAACTAAAGAGAACCTTTGGTATCACCTTATATCCCTAGAAAGGCACAATATTTAAAGTGAGAATAGAAAAGCCAATAGAAGCAGCAAGGAAAACGAGACAAAGAAAGAAAAACATTTCATATCTAAACTTACGGTATGAAAGGATATTTATTGGGCCAGCTTGCTATCCCTTGAAGAAGTGTTGATCAGATACAGATAATCTATAGAACGAAAAGTAGTGAACATGAATGGCAGACAAGAAATAAACAGAAAAGTTACATAACAAAGTTTGAGACGTTTGGAATGTATATGAATGTGTTCAAGGGACCAAGTGAAGTGACTGATTAAACATAATGAAGTTACCAATCTAGTATTCTACGAAAACGGAATCACTTGAAAACCAGTCATGATGAGAGAAATCCTCTGTGCTTTCTTCATTGTAGAGGTTTTGGAAATCTAATCGATGAATGAAATTTCATAGTAAAAATCTAATCGATGAATGAAAGATGGATACCAAAAGTGACGAATAGAATTTCCAACGTGATCAAAACTTTGGCCCTTTTACTAGTTCGAAATAATCTACTCTGGCGTGTGTTCTTGCAATTCTCTGAACTTTTTGTGCCTGCAAACAAAAAAAATCGCCACACACATTATTAATCACTCATTAGTTTAGAAATATACATTTTTCATAAACAGAGAATAAACAACGATGAGAACTTCATCCTCACTCCTCAGGGTTTCTCAGACACAAACAGATCAGAACAGAGAACATCCTAATTAACATAATTCCTTGGAACTTCAAAGATTTATAAACACACAATCGAGAAGATAAGAAAACAGAGGAAAACACAACATATAGTGCAATATAGAGCAGGGCAGAGCTTTCACTTTCCATAATTGCAACAAGCACAAATACAAAAAATTACCTAGAGAAGTAGGAACCTATCTGAATCTAACAAAAAAACAAATAAAAGGATACAAATGAAAACATAACTATCTCATAAGAACTTCATGATGAAGCTTAACAAACTATGAACGCCCCTAAAGCCATAACCTAAGAGGACCAGTGCTTTCCTCTCTGCGATGCGAACCTCAAACAATCTACGGAAAAACCATAAGAAATTAGCATTAAACAGAAAAAACAATTTTATTCCTCTCTGCAAGCACTTCTCCTAGACCCTTCATTCTTGAAAAATACAAAATATTCAGCAAGCACTTCTCTTAGATTCCTATAAAGCAAGCCAACATTGAAGTCATGTTTCATCCTTAAAAAACTACGGCCATAAATAAAGTGACCTTTGGTGATGTTCAAGAAAGAACCAATTTTTACCTATACCCAGACAATATAAAACAAGAAGATATCAAGAGATAATAAAGGCCCAAACAAAGCTCTATGATATATATGATGAAAAAGCAAACGCAATAGGAAATAACTAGAAACAATGATTAGTAAAAAAGCATGAAGACGAACAAGTCTGAAAAGAACTGCTTCAGCGTCGTCTACATACCGGTGATAAAGAAAGCTAGTTCATAAAATTTGCTAGCAACGAAAACTTAACCCCTGTGAAAGAAGCAGTTTCGTATAGCCCGAAAACATTCCTCGAGGCACCCAATCACAACAAAAAAAAAAGCATATAGATGCAACCCGAACAAGACTTGCTACTGTAAATTCCACAGACCTATACATAGACAAGAAATTCATATAAAACCAGAGGCAATCTCAAACACAATTGAGAGAAAAAGAAATTTAAAAATTAAACATATGAACCCACGAAGGACAAAATGATCAATAACAAACAGAAAATCTATGATATTATACGATGAGAACGCAAACACCTTAACCTTAATGCAATAATATACCATCAAAACAATAACGGGGAACAAACACAGATCAAAGCTATATATCCCGCAAGTCAAATCCTCATCTTCCCCATTTCCCACATACCTATACAAAAAGAGCCACCATCACAAACATCAAAAAGAGTCAGCGAAGCCTCCAACAAGAAGAAGTCAGTGTACAAAGAGAAATAAATAACTGTATAACCAATATTAGAAGCGGTTGTGATATAGCATGTCACTCCTACTTCGTCAAGATAGCTGCATCAACTGAAAATTTGATAGTCGGCAGAATTTGTAAGACACTACTCTCTGTATATTCTTAAACAGCCTATTGTCATCTCCAAAACTGTACAACAATTCCATGGGAATCAGTACCATAGAACAGGGAATGCAAATTAAGAAAGAACACATAATTTTTAGAAAGAAAAAAATTCTAACATGCATCAATCACTCATTAGTTTAGAAATTTACATTCTGAGTAAATAGAGAAAAAACAACGATGAGAGTTTTATCGTAGTCGGGTTCTCAGACACAAATAGGTCGGAGCAGAGAACATCCTAATTAACATAATTCCTTTGACCTAACAATTTTTTTGATGTAAACATAAGATTAATCTAAAATGTTTTTCTTGGAACTTCAACGATTTATAAACACACAATCTAGAAGAGAAGAAAACAAAGGAAAGCACAAACATATAGAGTGAGAAATAGAACAGGGCAGAGATTTCACTCTCCATGGTTGTAACAAGCATAAGTATTGATCACATACAAAATATTATGTAAAGAAGTCGGGACCTATTTGAATCTGACAAAAAACAAATAATAAGATACTGATGAAAACACACCTATCTCATAAGAACTTAATCCTAGGAAATAATGACGCTTAAGAAAATAGGAACCCCTAAAGCCATACCCTAAGAGGACCAATGCTTTCCTCTCTCCGATGCAAACATCAATAATATATTACAAAAAACATAAGTAATAAGCATTAAACAGAAAAACCTGTACAATTTAGTAGAACTCAAGCTAAAAATGGATAGTAAGAGAATGAATTTAAAAGTTTACTTCCCCTTATGATTCTCTTAGCGTTTGGATTCAGCAAGCCCTGCTCTTAGACCCTTCATTCTTGAAAAACACATCCAGATTGTCCTAATCGATATTTCTCTAACATTCAGGATCAACCAGCTTGCCATGGAAAAAGTCAAATTGTAATTTTTCAGGAAAAATCAAATTTATCTCTATTTTCAAGACATAATTTTAAGGTTTCGTAGTAAAAATTAAAGCAAACAGAAAATATACATACCTTCAGGGAAAAATTCAACAGATGTGTGCATGTCTGATTGTTAGCGATGGGTTTACGTCTCTCATAGTTAACCTGCACACATTAGACAAGATAAAGAAAAGTTATACAAGTAAAATCCAAAATAAGGCAAAATGTTTACCTGCACTGGTCTTCCCTTCAACGAATTTTACATTAGAGAGAAACGTTGGAACAAATTTGGCTTGGCACAGGGCACTCTATGATCTTTACTTTGTTTCTCTCTTCGCTTTGCTGAAACAATAAACGAACCACCAATCCAATCTCTTCAGCCATCAACTGAAACAAGAGAATCAACGTGAAGTGAGTGTTGAAAAAAATCTGAAAAACACGCAACAAGACATGAGGATAAATTATATTTGGTTGAAAAATGAAGTCAACCATCTACTATGTAAGAAAAAGGTGATAAGATGCAATGTAATCAGAAGAAGAAAAAATATAATATAGTACCTTCTTGACAGTATTTTTCACTCTGAGAAACTATCAAAAATCTAAATCAAGTAAAAGTTACTCTAAAGTCTAAACCATTATCAGCAAAAAACAGACGAAACCGGAAGACCATCAGAAGAAAGAGATAAGGAAGTTGTCGCTCAAGTCAACCAATTAGGAGCCAAAAATTATTCTGTGTTAAAACCCACACGAACTTGCAGAAAAAGCATTACACAAAAGGGCAACTGCTTATCGTGTCCTGTAAAATCTTAACATAATATCATATATTATTTACCTGATCATGGAGAACACTGGTCAGTATTTAGCTTGTCTACCATATTCCTCTCCAGAATGTTTAAGGCCTTAAGTGAACCTATACTTCCAAAGAAACTGTCAAAAAAAAAAGAGCAGATAGACAAAAGTTGTGTAACTATAAGAATCCCCAAAAAGGGCAAGACTTTACGGAATTACAATCTCCAAGGTGCAAAATTTCATCAACGGACATCGTGATTTCTTGGTTAGAGCGATGAAAAAATAAAACCCATCACTTGTAATATAAGACAGAAGGGGTTGTGAGGGTTCCTGGATCATTTAATAGAAAACCTGTTAAAAGAAACAATAATGAACATCAGAGACGTGATAAAGGTGAAAGGAACACAAACTAATTGAGTAAAAAAGGTTCAAGGAACTTATTTGAATGTGTTAACCAAGTGACTCATGTAAAGAATTTCAGCTCATGTTGCAACCAAATAAGTATCCAGCAGTAATAAGTTTCACCAGCTATTAAACCAAGGATTGAATACCAATTGGAGGAAAACTCTATAGAAAAGCTCGACTTACATGGCGAATGAAAAAAGGGTCACAAGTTTCAAATCATCACAAAGACCGAGTAGTGTAGTCTGCATGTATATATGCATGGCATAACATGTAATAGAAAAATAAATCTTAGTTAAAATTTACATATTACAGAAACAAAACCTCGGAATCTCGCTGAAGCTCATCCGCATTGATGACTGCTGGTGGTGTTCCCATCTGACAGAGATCACTGTATATCGACACTAAGAAATCCAGCGATCATGAGGCTGTTTTTGATTCCATGAGGTTGTTGGATTTTCCGACAATCTATAGCGAATAGAGAAAAAAATGGAAAAGGTCATATGCTGAAGAAACCAATTATCTATAACAAATTTTTTTTGGCATACTCTAAAGCATAGAGCTTGCGTAAATATATAAGTCAACATCACATCATCAATTTAAGATAGGATTAAAATCAAAGAAAGGGGTACCGTCTAAGAGGTACGCATCCATCCTTTGCATCTTTGACATACCTATAGTGACGTAAGTTAATCATATTAAAAAAAAAAAAAGACACCATCAAAGCATGTATGATTAGAACTTAAACCTTAACCTATGGAAATGATGAAGCCCGCGGGATGATAAAGCCATCTCATGAGACTAAGCAGAAACCCAATGCAGTTCTCTGTTGGAACCTCTGTAATCCTTAGCAAGAACGTAAGAGTTTTGAATAATGGGGAAGAATCATAAATCAAATAATCAAGTCTGAAAGCAACTTCTTTTGCTTATAGGAATAAGAAGTAATATAAATAAAAAGAGAAGCGTCCAACAAGAATATGTGACTATGATTTAGACTCTAAGAAAACGTTTAGTCAAAGAACATAAACAATCAAAGAGAGTTCAGGAAACAACTAACACAAACCCATCCTCCAAAGCGACCTAAAGCAAGAGCAAAAACATGAACACTCTATAATAAAGAGAACCTAACACAAAGAAGTGAACCCACATAATCAAGAGCCGAAAAAAAACTGATCTGTACAATCACTTTGGCCAACTAATCACAAAAAACTTTCAACATAACATTATCCCTCTGAAGAACAGAACCTAAAAATCCATATCTTAGAACATCAAAATCTATACGTATCTAGAATCATCGACAACCTATATAACCAAGAGATGTAACACAAAAATTAACTAATTAAAGCAGCTTAGATATAAAAGAAAGAAACTGATCCAAAGACAATCGCTTAAAAACTAGTGAAAGAATTACTGCAGGATTGTTAGCAAATGTAATATGATACCAAAACTATTACTAGCCCAACCTACATGCTATCAAATCAAAATATTGATTCCGAACAAATACTGATAAAGGCATGAAATAAGATGACCTTTTTAAACCTCATCGAAAACCAATTCATACATATACACCCTGACTTACATTTACCAAGAACATGCAAAAAACTTATTCACGTTTCTTCGTGCAGTGCTAAGACCAAAAGCACAACAAAACAAAAAAAAAAACTTTCCAGTTTCACTAGAGAGATGGCCAATATGCAGAGCAAAAGATTTATTTAAAGCAAGATCATTAACACTATACGCACTAGCTTCTTTCTTTCTTCAACAAAAGAATAAGAATTTAGATGCAACATCTGAGTTCTCCAATAAAAAAAAGACAAACCTGTAACCACATACATTCATCTGTTGGCTGTTGCTGAACTGCAGTTTTGAGCAATGATGTACCAATACCAGCTTGCTGCCAGAAAAAATTGATACCAGCATATTTGTAAATAGATACTGTAATTTCAAACTTAGACCATCTTCTCATGTGAGTGTAGCATCAATTAACCGTAAAAATAAAAAGTACAGGGAGAGAGAAACATTGGACCTCATTTCTTTGTGCACTCTTTGATCTATACTTTGCTTCTCTCTCGGCTTTTCTGAAACAGTCAACGTTAACCACCAATCCTATCTCTTCAGCTATCAACTGAAACAAGAGAATAAATAGCCAAGTCAAATCTAATGGAAACCACAAGTAGGCCACAATTCAAAAAGAGGCCAATGTTGCAGAGTAAAGACTTCGCCACAACATAAAATAAAACAAAAAGAGAAACTAAACAGAACCTTTGGTATAACCTTATATCTTTGGAAAGGCACAATCTATAAAGTAAGAATAGAAAAGCCAATAGACTCAATAAGGAAAGCGAGACAAAGAAAGGATATTTACTGGGACAGCTTACTATCCTCCAAGACACAACATAAAGAAGTGTTGATCAGTCGGATTCTAAGACACAAACAGGTCAGAGCAAAGAACATCCTAATTAACATAACTCCTTTGACATATGACAAAAAAAGAAAACAAGTAGAATCCAAATTTGAGAAACCACCATATAAGGCAAAATTCTCCAATAGTTTCTGTTGTCCATACCTAAAAAACAAAACCAATGTTAGATCTTTCTAGAGAAGAGGGAGGCACAGATAAAACTGATCATTTGTAGGCTGTAGGAACCTCATCAGCAATATGGAATTCGGAGAGACTAATTCTTCTTTCTTCTAAGTTGAAGTTCTCTTTCACCACAAGTTCCATGACCTAGAAAGAAAATAATAGAACTAAAAATAATTGCTCTCTTAACAAACGAAAGTGAATGTTCTCTCTTACAGTTGCTCTGGTGAGGAGTAAGTCCACACCCTTTCTTCACCATGAACTGTATAACAAAAAGTAAAATTGTTGACAATATGAGCTCCTATAGTCTCTTAAAAATATCTCGAAGTTCGATAGAAAAGCCTGCGGATGGATCATCAAAGATTTATTTGAAGCAAGATCCTCAAACACTATACGCACTAGCTGCTTTCTTTCTTCAACAAAAGAATAAGAATTTAGATGCAACATCTGAGTTATCCAAACAAAAAAAGGACAAACCTGTGACCACATACATTCAAAAGGATCATCTGTTGGCTGTTTCTGAATCGCAGTTTGAGCAATGTTTATGTACCAATACCAGATGGCTGAGGAAAAAATTGATATCAGCATATTTGTAAATAGACACTGTAATTTCAAACTTAGACCATCGTCTCATGTTAGTGCAGCATCAATTAACCATAAAAATAAAAAGTACAGAGGGAGAGAAACATTGGACCTCATTTCTTTGTGCTCTCTTTGATCTTTACTTTGCTTCTCTCTCGACTTTTATGAAACAGTCAACGTTAACCACCAATCCTATCTTTTCAGCCATCAACTGAAACAAGAGAATGGAAATTAAGATTTACGTTTTGTGCCTAAGATGAAAAGCAGTAAGCACAACAAGTTTTCAGCCATATATTATTTCCACTACAGAGAACCTCATTGAATATGAGATCCATAGCCTTCATTGAAGTTCACATGATATGTCAATATCTTCATATATGTATGAGAAAAAATCTAGTAGAAACATCAAAAATGAGCTTATACTATTTACCGGAGCGCTTGTTTTCTCGGAAGAAGAATTAAATGCAGAAGTCAAGGCAGCTAAAGCAGCAGCCCTTTTCCTTGGTCCTTGGTTCCCACTGCTAGACTGATCCTGCAGTAGAAGGGTAAATTGCAAACACCCAAGCAAGAGTTTTTCTTTAGCAAACGTGATATCCCATGTATCTGCATAAGAAATAATTTCAACAAGTCAATGAAGGTAACGAATGCAATAAGGAATCAAAAAGTAGAAAAAAATCAACCAGCAAATATGATCGGTGAAGAGAAATTAAAATCAACATAAATCAACACTGGATAGCTAAGAACTAAAACAACCAGAAGGACCAAAATATGAATAAAATAAATAGAACACGCAGATAGGAATAAAGGATATTTATTGGGCCAGCTACGTATTAGAGCTGAAGCTTTATCAACACTTTTTCCTGTTGTGCTAAATACTGAAACCAAGGTGTAAAATGCGTCATTCTTAATACAAACTATACAACATCCAGGCATCGTTTGAAAATTCTAACATTACACGGTCACGAATAGGTAGCCAAGTTTTTGAACAGTCTAAAGTAGAAAAAGCACTTAGCAAGAGAGAAATAAGGTAGAAAAGTACCGCTTCAACTTGTAGTGCCTTATTATTGTGACCTCCAGTTCCAGATGCTTGAATAAGTGCAATTGATTCCATCGTGTAGGTTTCGTCTGATGAACCTTTCTCTGTCATTCTATTTTTGTAACCAGAGCTCAAACCACCCTAAAAGTTAATGTAACTATATCAATTACGAATAGATTTCCTTGCAGCAACAATCAATAACAATCAAAAGAAATACCTTAAGGACCACCATATGTTGAAAAGTGCAACAAGTTGTGGAGGTTCTTTACCCTCAAATATACGGGCCTGCAAGAAGATCAAGTTATTCAACAATCTTTCAGTGCTAGTGGCTATTACTTACAATAACAAAACAAGGTACCTGCACTGGTCTTCCCTTCATGTTGTCAAATGAATTTCAGCTCATGTTGCAACCAAATAAATATTCAGTAGTAATAAGTTTCAACAGCTATTAAACCAAGATTGGATAACCAAAGGGAGGAGAACTCTATAGAAAAGCTAGAATTACCTGGCGAATGAGAAAAGGGTCTCGAGTTTCAAATGCCATGAATTTCTTCAGGTTGAAGTATATTGAAAACATTTTCAGAAAGTTTAGATGCTTTCAGATCCTGGAGTGAGATGCAGTTCTCAATCTGAAAGAGTCATTCAACAAATTGATGTTTTGAATAAGGAAAAGAAAAAACAGAACAGCCAGGAATATGAAAAACTGCATTTCATTGGGAAAAAAACACAAAGCTGTCAAGGCCAGCGGTTCAATAGAAAGTGTTCTAGGTTCATGAGATCTTGGATGAAAAAACGAGCAACAGATCACTACCAGACATATGTTTTAGTTTCAATATGGGTATTCTATGTTCATGAAATAATGGTAATTCTTAATGGTTAGTGAATTCAAAATCTCAGGTAAACATTATCGTTTCATCAAGAAGGCCACATATGTCACAAGTTTTGGCTCAGTTATACTGTGAGCTAAGCAGCTAAAGGACAAAAGAGAAGAAGGGAAGAGACGTGTACCAATACTCAAGACTAGGCTCAGATGACTTATCCTCCTCAGCTGCTACAAACACAAGTTAGTCAGGTACATACTTGATATACCACAATAGTAAGATGATCCACTACTCACATTACATACCGGAGCTGCTCCGAAGGTATCATAGGATGCAACTACAGAAATTCCTGGAAGCTGGTTGGAATCTCCATCTGCTCTTGATCCCTTCACACAAACCAAATCCTCTCAGGCTTTCTGTATGTCTCACATCAAAAATAAACGAGTAACTAACAAGGATCCAATGAGTAATTAACAAGGAGTGGGCAGATCAAAATTAGGATAAGTAATAATATTTAACATGAGGGAAGTGTACACCAAATTCATTGTTGCTGGAAAATGGAAGAGCTTAGATTGTTCCTATAGAGATGATGAAAGCAAAAATGATACATCGTAGGGAAACTGGACTGTAGTCTTCGGCAATGCATGCTACCACAAACCAGACCGTTTAGACATTAACAACTGAGGTTCCCAATACTGAATTAGCTAATAATTGAAGACACGACAAAGAAGGTTATGCTACATTAGTACATTTCATAGATATCAAAGCTAGTCATGAAAATTTGAGAATGAAATTAAATACAATGCATTACCTGAATGTTTTTGATGGTATGAGATGCAATTTTCCTACTCTGATACAGAGATAACAAGCTTATATCTGAAAAGTAGTCACAAAAAGAGATTGTTTAGATACATACTATCTGTTGAGCCACCAATTAGGTACCAAAAAGTCAACAGAGAACCTGAGGCCCATCAAAATGAAAAACAGAGGAAGTTTTCTTCGACTCCTCTTTCTTCCATAATGTTTGCAACTCCTAAAAAGTCAAAATTGAAATTGCGGTTAGTAATTGGAAAAGCCAAACATCAAATAACATAGAATCAAGAATAGACGAGAGAACGAGAAACACAAAAAACTTTGGTAATTAGTGAAAAAGATGAGAGCGATGATCAGTCACAACAATGAAGTTATGCTTCCAACTCCTGAAAAACAAAATTGAAGTTAGGCAACTAATTATTGAACATTAAGTAACACAGAATTCAAATCTAGGATCACTTTTACCAGGACTAGTCTCGTAACATCTCTATCTCTTCAATCCACAAGCAAAGGGAAGAAAGAAAGCAACACACACTCTGCCTTTCATGAGTCCCCAAAGTTTTCCAGAACCAGAATTTTAATCAGATAATGGCAAAGCGAAATAAGTCTGAACGGAACACATGAGCATACAAGAGAGAATCCAACAACAACAAGTCAAGAGGAACAAATAACTGATACAAATCAATTATAATAATAAGAAGTAATTTAAATAAAAAGAGAAGCCTCCAACAAGAATATGTGACTATGGTTTATATTCTAAGAAAACGTTTAGTCAAAGAACATAAACAACCAAAGAGAGTTCAGGAAACAACTAACACAAACTCATTCTCCTAAGCGACCTAAAGCAAGAGCGAAAACATGAACTCTCTATAATAAAGAGAACCTAACACAAAGAAGTGAACCCACAACATCAAGAGCCGGAAAAAAAACTGATCTATACAATCACTTTGGCCAACTAATCACAAAAAAACTTTCAACATAACATTATCTCTCTGAAGAACAGAAGGAACCTGAAAATCCATATCTTGGAACATCAAAATCTATATGTATCTAGAATCATCGACAACCTATAACCAAGAGATGTAACACATAAATTAACTAATTAAAGCAGCTTAGATATAAATTATAAAACAAAGAAACTGATCCAAAGACAGTCGCTTAAAAACTAGTGAAAGAATTACTGCAAGATTGTTAGCAAATGTAACATGATACCAAAACAATTACTAGCGCACCCTACATGCTATCAAATCACCATATTGATTCTGACCATATACTAATTACTCTCTCTTTTTTAAACCCCTTCGAAAACTGATTCGTATATATATATCCTGACTTACATTTACCAAGAACATGAAAAAAACCTATGCACGTCTCTTTGAGGCAGTGCTAAGACCAATAGCACAACCAAACAAAAAAAACTTTCCAGCTTCACTAGAGAGATGGCCAATATGCAGAGCAAAATATGGCAAGGTGATTGCACATAGAAAGATTTATTTGAAGCAAGATCCTTAACACTATACGCACTAGCTTCTTTCTTTCTACAACAAAAGAATAACAATTTAGATGCAACATTGGAGTTATCCAAATAAAAAATGACAAACATTATTACAAAAGAATAACAGTTCAGATTCAAAATCTGAGGTATCCAGATAAGTAATCATATGCAATCAAAAGAATCACATGTTGCTGCCAAACAAATTATGGTTTGATAACATGGGGTTGCCAATTGCTGTCAAAATGTTTTAAGAAAAACAGTTAATAACCCAATGAGATCCAAAACTAAAGTAAGGTAGGAAACGAGTAAAACCCATGAAACCATAACACAATGCTCAAGCAGCCAAGTCAGACACCTCATAACTCTAAACCACTGCATCTACAGAAGAAAGAGCCAAAACCTATAGTAGAAGTGTTTCTCACTTTGAGAAAGAAAGAGACCAAAACGTGATATCCCCTGTACCTGCAAAACATAGCACCACACGTTGAAAGGTCATCGAAACACTGAAGATTAAAACTAAGGACAATTCTATCTATTACGAAACTCCACACAAAACCTTTCAAGTCTATTCCACATTATGAAGATTCATTCACTTGTTAGCTACTTCGGAAGAAAGAAGAAGAGACCCAAAACGATAACGATGATGATGACTGATAAAAAAAAATGCTTCCGATTCACTTTGATCTCTTGATCTATCACCGCTCGAAGCAACCCAATTAGACTCAGTCACCTGCAATTTACCGGTAGAATCAGATACATACACGAAAAGAAAACCCTAAAATCATACATCAAATTTAATACATAATTAAGAAAGAGAACCAGAAACCCAAAAGCTTTGGTAATTCCTGAGGAAGATGAGAGCGATGATCAGTCACAGCAAGTGACTTAGGAACTTCAATCACCACCACATGCAAATTTCTCCTTTAAATTTAGAAAACGGCGATTGCAATTTAGAGAACATGCGATTAGTGGAAACGAACGATGATGATGATGATGATGATCGTTTTAGAGAAGCAATTCTCGTCTGAATTAACAAAAGCAATATTGAGATCAAACGATAATAATTAGAGATCAAGCCATTTAAAGAGAAGAAGAAAAATAATATTTCATAATCTGACGGTGGAGATGAAACCCAATTTGTGAATAAATGATTATCAACGGTGGAGTAGAGAGTCTGAGATTACAGCAGGTTCGTCTGAGATTTTTTTACCGTTAGATTTCTTGGCACACGTGTCAATCATTATTGCTCTGCGTATCCACACTAAGATTTGTTGGACACGATCTTTTAAAAAAAAAAATTATAAAACAAAGAATTAAAATTTACTATGAGTATTACCTTCTATAAAATTTTTTAAATATTCCTTCATTTCATTATCGGTAAATTTTTAGGGAAATCAATCTCAATTTCTTTGTCATTAAATTCATTGATCTTTATATCATTAGTTTTTAGAATTTATACTAAAAAATTAATTTCTAAATTCGTGTGATTATAATTAACTACTAAAACAAGTCTCGTGTTCTTCATTAACTTAAAAAATGTATAGCTATCCAAAGAATATAGTGTATTTAGAGTGGATCTAACCCTAAGCTAAATCTAGTAACCTAGTGTTTTAAACATCTGAAAATGAGGATTTCAATTTCTGAAGAAAAGTCTTGTAGAGTAAGTAAATACAGCACTAATGGGCAACAAATCACAAAATAAATAAAAATACCTTAAACTTTACATTGAGGGAAAATACTCTAAAACTGTGTCTTCCATATGATTCGTGAAGCTAGATCGCTTGTCTAATTCTGGATAATTTATCAGTATAAAGAAATAATTTTCCCAACTAATTCTAACTTATATTCATTAGTTTGTTGATTACTCTTTTCATATAGAGAGATTAGACATCACGATAAATATCAACTTATAATAATAATGCTGAAGAAAATTTATTAAAACTGAAACTTTTGGATCAACAAAAAGATTATATTTATCAATTTTGGAAATATATCTATTCCAATGACACATAATCGTTTGTCACTTTTTGGATCGAACTCAAAAAAGAAAATAACACTATGATTTTTTTTTTGCATATACAATAACAAAACCTAGGGATGTTAAAATGAGCTAAAACTTTAAAATAAACACATGCCCTAACTCTGACTAAGATAAATGAGAGAATTTCGGGCTGATTTGGTTGGTGTTTTCTTATACGGGTTTGTGTTAGATTATCGAAATTTTGAATTTTGTGTAGCTATGACCTTTCTGATTTTGAATTATTTTATTTTTATTTAATCACTAATTAATAAAATATTCATTGTAATGAAATATTTCAGAATTAACGGTTTCTATTTTTTGGTTCTTGTTTTTTCTGAATCCTAAAATTAAAATAGAAGATTGAGGTGAATCAAAAATCCAAAGGAGGTTTCATGGACAAGGGTAAAGATGTTCGAGTAACAATTATTTTGGAATGTACGAGTAGTGTTAGAAATGGTATTGAGAAAGAATCTGCGGGAATTTCCAGATTTGCACCCACACCTTATGCGTTTCGAATTCCTCCTTGAGTCAATCCTCTATCACTCCCTTCATCAATGAAGAGTTCCGTCATCTTCAGGAGAGAATCACAAATATCAGAAACAACCTTCTTTGAATTTCGACTTTCAATTCCGTCTTGAATTGCGGCGTTATCCTTCATCGACAATCTTCTCCGACGATCTTCTCGTTCCAGATAGAAACACAAAAATAAGAAAAGTTTTTTTGAATCGAAATCAGACCGTTCCGTCTTACTTAAGGCAGAGAGAAGAGAGAGTTCTTCAATTTCTCTAAAGTAAGTGGGTGATTTCAAGGTTTTAGAGATCCAAACGGTCACAAAATCTCTATTTCGCATCCACGATTTACTTATGACCATTTGAAGAGAGAGTCATCAATTTAACTAAACCAAACTCGCTCTTGTATAATTTTTACTTTCAAAAATATCCTATACTATTAATTGGGGAGTACACTTTATAAGATACCCTTAACTAACCTTTCCTTTTGTAAAAAATTACTTAAGAATGCCATTACAAAAATCTTATTTTAGAACAAATTTCATTCAATTTATTAAGGATAAACAAGTAAAATACTAATTTATGTCATTTAATTAATTTAATTAAATTATAAAACGAAAATCTGTTATTTTTTTTTTAAATGACCAATCAAAATGAACATATAAGATTTGATATCTAACTTACCATATTAATTTGTTATTAATCATTAAACTTCACCTCTCATCTTTATATGATTATATTTATATGAAACAAATAAATCATCATATCATCTACATAATAAAAAAAAAGTAATTTTTTTTCTGCATATGCCAAGATTTGAATTTTTAAAAACGCATATAAATTGTTCAATCTATAAAGGAAACAATTAAACGGGTCAAAAATTCAGACTTGAGTAATATATTTCTTTTAGAAAAAAATAAATTCAACAAAAATTCCGACTGAGCAATGGGTCAGAATTTGAATATTTATATTCGATTTCATACATTTATTTTTTTGAAATGTATAATTTTATATACTACAATAAAAAAATTAAATATTTTAATTTGCATCATTTAAAATAAGTTTTACTTGATATTTTTAGAGAATATCATCAATACATAATAGTTCAAAAAGTTAAAAATTATAAATACTCTAATTTGATTATTTTTAAAAATATTTATAATAGGTAGCGGGTTAAATATAATATATTATATGATGAAATGAGTTTTGATCCTTATAACTATTTGAATAGTTATATTTAATTTCATATAATTTGTTTTTTGAAATTCATAATTTTTAGAAACTACAAAAAAAATTTAAAGATTTTAATTTGGAATATTTAAAAATAGTGTAGAACATTTAAATATGGTTTGAGACCTCTAAATATTTGAAAATTTGATTCCGCAAGCAATTTTAGAATTAACGAATAATAGATTGTGCACGCAATATTTTAAAATGAAATATTGAGATTCTAAAATAAAAATATAGACTCCACGCATAGGTTGATTTTGGTATTATTATATACTAAATATATGTTTATAACATATTCGATTATGCGAATAATTGGTAAATTCCGTAGTTATAAATCTCAAACAAATTCTGTAATTAGATTAGCTCAAACAAATCTCAATTTCAACAACCAAAGAATTATAAATTGAAAAGGAATTTTCTCAATTAATTCAAAATAATAGCTAATTTTCTTAATTAGTTCAAAATAATCTATGTTTGATATGCGATTCATTTATGATATTTTTATTTTTGATCTAACTGAAATATATGCAATCCTATTTTGTGGTTGTTAACATAAATTAACTCATTGTTCAAAAAATATTTCTTTTTTAAAAAATAAAATTATTTTCCGTTTTCATATCTTAAAAAAACAAATTATCCAACACACCAAAAAAAAAAAACAAATTATCCACAATTGAGTATTATAGAAAAAAATCTATATTTATTCTAATTCTAATATTGTATATAGGGACTGACAAAAAAATTAATATTTTTCACTTACTATTATAATATATTAAAACTTAGTTCTAATATATATATTATATAAATTTTGTAATAAATAAAATTCAACCCGTACTTTAGTACGGGTGATGATCTAGTTTAATATTAAATGTCACTCACATTTGTTAAAAAAAAGGGAAAAAAATACTACCACCACATTTAAAATAGTGAATTTACGTTTAATTATCATCTGCACCATTAAACATTTATATAGTTAAGAATAAATATTTCAATCAAATATGTGGAATTTATCTAGTTAAGAATAACTACATGTGAATATGTGATGATGATGACGATCCTTTTGATATCTCACTAAACATTTGTTGCGTCAAGTGATTTCATTGGTTTTAGCTTCGTTTTTAAGAAGAAAGGTCTCAATAATGATACATGGAAAAAAATAATTGTTGTTGGAAATATATCCAAAAGATTTATATTTAGAGAAATTTATAAGTATAAAACTTCCACTAAGTTACGAAGTCCCCATTCCCCAAGCTATGGTGTTACAAGACAGATCTGATATTGTAATCTAGATAAGTTAAAAATCTAGTTATTTGCCAATTGTGTTTGCAAGAAAACACATGGAAACCGGAGCCTCTAGCTCTGGTGGTAAAGGACCTTCAGCTGAGGTACCCGCCATCACGAATTCGAACCCCGGCTACTGCGGTATTCATATGCGGGCTACAGCGTCCAGGAGCCGACGTGGAGTGCCATTTGGCCAACCACGTGGCTAGTCTGATGCGAACCGATAGTCTAACACGTGGACCCCTGCTCTGCCGGATATCCGATAGCTAACACGTGGACCCCTGCCATGTCGGGAAGCGTTGGGATACCTGGGTTATCAAAAAAAAAAAAAAACACATGGAATTATTTAGGTATTTCCAAGAAAGAGGTTGTATAATCATCTAATTAATATTTATCTTGTTAAGAATACTTGGAAATAAATCTTTGTTGTTGGAAATCCAAAATATTTAAATTTAGGAGAATTTCTATATATAAAAAAATGTGTAATCTAGTTAAGGAAAAAAACATTAATTCCACTGCGATATAAACCCACTTGGTCTTATTAATCGATATAGGTTGACGCTAGCTGTCGTTGAACATATAAATCACTAGGTTTAATGATCAATTATCATAGATGCAAAGTCTTCCATCTTGTAAAACAAAACACAATTGCAATTAGAACTACTTTTTCCTATAATTACACCAAGTTCTACGTGTATGTATATATGCTATATTATGTAGAACAAAGTCCATCAAAACACAAATAAGATATTATGGATTTCAATCTATCATAAGATAGAATCACTATAAGTCTTCAATCTATCGTACGAGTTTAAATCTTCCACCATCTTAGTTGGTTAAGTTTCGCAAGATAAGTTGATGAACCGATAAAATGGCATTTTTCTCTTATGCATAGAGCTTCCCTGCTTGCACAATTGGTGGGATTGCTTTCTTCTCTTGTCGGCAAGGGGCAAACATTTGAGCAGACTGAGCTGTTGCGGTTGGTATACCTCACATCCATACATCTAACGAAACATATCAGTCCAAACTAAGATATGCTATATATGTATAAATCCAACAAATGTTTAGTTCAACCTTAAAATACTTGTGAGAGACTTCGAGTCTTACAAGGTATCAAGAGCGAAAGGAGGAAGAGAGATATTGGTTGTGGTGTCATTTTTTATGACTTGAGTATAATATCAAAAATAAGTCTCCTTAACCTTTGAAATATATAGTGTTTATTTGAAATTTTTGAATTTGATTTTAATATTATTTTTAAGTTAATCGCTTGTAATTTTTAGATTTTCACATTAAATAAGAAATATATCTCATATCCAAGTACTATATGTGACACAACAAATATTACAAAGACAAATTTTCCAAAGTATTGTCAAATAAAATACCCACACTTCGTTGCATCCCTTCATTTTTAAGTTTTGTATTTTCATTAATTTATCTATTTCAAAAAAAATATTTAAAACAAAAATAAAAGAAAAAAAAAATTAATCATATTTTCTTTGTTGTCTCATTTATTATAAAAAACAGAAAGCAAGCAAGAAACATACTGTTAAGGATATAGAGGAATCAGACTTCATTACCTCGATATCCTCTTACCTTATTTAACAAACATTCTATATTAGCTTCAACCTAGAAGTCTCTGTACTTTGTATATAAACAGAGCATTGTAAGTCTTTGAAAAACATGTGAAATAAACATTATTTACATGGTATCAAGAGCCATATAATTTTTTTTCTGCGCCGCCCCACCTTTCTCCTTTTTCTTCTTTCTCTTCTATCAGATCTCAGATCTCTGCAACTCTCTTCTTCCAAATCTCATCTCTACTTACTATGGCCACTGCTGCTGAAACCGTTGACACCACACAACCTCTCTCCTTAATGTCAACAACTCAACATGATGAATATCACAAAGCTCACCTCTGTCAACTACATCACTTGGAGCGTTCAAGTGCACTCTCTTCTCGATGGTTATGACCTTGCTGGGTACCTTGATGGATCGTCAGTTCCACCGGATCAACAAATCACTGTCAACGACCAGCCAACCACAAATCCAGCCTATACCAAGTGGAGACGCCAAGATAAGCTCATTTACAGTGGACTTATTGGTACTCTCTCATCATCAGCTCAATCCCTAGTCTCAAAATCCAAGTTATCTGCCGATCTGTGGAAAACAATATCCAAAACATATGCCAATCCAAGCTGGGGTCACATTCAACAACTTCGGATCCAATTGAAGCACTACTCGAAAGGTGAAAAATATATCGACGTCTATATGCAAGGTCTGACAACTCGCTTTGACCAGTTAGCCCTTCTTGGCAAACCGGTTGAACATGAGGTTCAAATTGAGTACAATCGGTTGAACATGAGACCGGTTAGAACTTTTATATATAATAAATAATCGTTAAATTTCTACAATTAATTACTACTTTAAAAAACAAATCACGGGACGGGTTAAGAAATTACAGGGCGTGTTATATTTCGGAACGAGGTTATATGGTGGACGAGTTTGAATCAATATTTATAAAATTTTAAAATATCATTAACATACCGCTTTAATACAGATTAAATCTTTATTTTATTAAAATATATATGTCTTAGAGAATGATTTGTAAATTTTTATATAGAATAAATAATCATTAAATTTTAAAATCATTACTGTTAGAAAATAAATCATGAGACGGATTAAAAAATTACGGGACGGGTTATATTTCGGAACGCCTTTATATGGCGGACGGGTTTGAATCAATATTTATAAAAATTTTAAATATCATTAACATGCCGCTTTAATACGGATTAAATCCTCAGCTTATTAACAATTGTCCCGTAGACTCGTGATATACCGTTACTTAATAACAATTGTAAACTATAAAATATATAAAGAGATATAATTTGCAAAATTTTATATATACTAACTTAAAAAAAATCATCCCGCGGTGTACCGCGGTTTAAAATCTAGTTGCATGATATAGAATTAGCAAAAAAAAACCATAAATCTGTATTCTCTCTCGAACAATATAAATAATAAGAGGATTGAGATATCCACCTCAAAACACCAATCTTAATGCGAACAAGATAAGTATGGCCATGATTGCGTTGATTTGGACATTCACAAGACTAATTATGGTTTGCTTTCAATGGTATACTAATGTTTCTTGTCCAACTATTTTCTTTCTTGTGTTATATTTGAAATGTGATACAAAACTTAGAAAATAGAGAACGAATTTTATCAAATCGTGTAGACCAATGTTTGGACAATAAAATTTCAAAAGATTATATGCATATAAAATATGCAATATCTGGTTATACTTTAATGTATAAGCATACAAAGATATAAAAAAAAAGAAATAGTTAAAAATGCCCCTTTTTCAATACCCTTTTCAAAAATGTCCCCTTTGAGAGTCCATTTTTAAGTTTGCCCTCTTTTAATTTTTAATGACAATTTTACCCTTATTTGAAACAAAATTAGGTCCACAAAATACAAAATATTTTTTGGCGAGAAAAGTGATCCCGCAATTTTCCCGCCAAAACACTTGTAAAAACCTTTAAAATACCTTGTAAAATTTTCCCGTAAAAATTTTTCCCGCCAAAAATTTTTTTTTGCGGGAAAAGTGATTCCGCAATTTTTTTGGCGAAATTTTTTTGGCGGTAAAAATTTACAAGGTATTTTAAAGGTTTTACAAAGTATTTACAAGTGTTTTGTAAGGTTTTACAATGTATTTTAAAAGGTTTTACAAGGTACTTATAAGGTTTTATAAGGTATTTATAACTTGTAAAACCTTATAAAAAACTTGTAAAACCTTATAAAATACCTTGTAAAATCTTATAAATACCTTATAAATACGTTGTAAAACCTTTTAAAATACATTGTAAAACCTTATAAATACCCTGTAAAAACCCTTTAAAATACCTTGTAAATTTTTCCCGCCAAAAAAATTGCGGAATCACTTTTCCCGCAAAAAAAATTTTTTGGCGGGAAAAAATTTTACAAGGTATTTTAAAGGTTTTTACAAGTGTTTTGGCGGGAAAAATTGCGGGATCACTTTTCCCGCCAAAAAATATTTTGTATTTTGTGGACCTTATTTTGTTATATTTCCTTATATATTTGTGATATCTTTTATTAAAAGAAGGGTAATTTAGTCATTTGGTACATAAAAAAATGTATTTTTAAAAATGGACAGGCAAAGGGGGCATTTTTGAAAAAGGGTATTAAAAAATGGGCATTTTTGTGAGTCTCCAAAACAAAAATCATATCAAAATGAAAAATCGAGTCCGGCTTTACGATTATTAAAATTAGAAAGTTCATAATATGGACACAAGTAGTTAATAGATTAGCCTAAATTAGTAAAATTAAGTTGCAAAACTAAAAAAAAAAAAAACAAATTTCTCACAAAACAAAACTAGAAATTAAAAAGACGTTTTGGAGGGCAAAATTGTCAATTTAAGTATTATCTACCTGTAGCTGGGGAGATCTTATTTTATAAAGAAGAACATTCACTCTCACGCGCTTCAACTTTCTCAGAAACAAGAAAAATTCACAGCAAAATTTTCTCGAGAAAATCCGAAGCAAAAAAAAATGGCGGATCAGCTTACCGATGACCAGATCTCCGAGTTCAAGGAAGCTTTCAGCCTATTCGACAAAGACGGAGATGGTCTCTTCTTCTTCCCTGCTCTCAGATCTCTTCCTCTTCTCGTTTTTTTTTGGAGAGATCGTGATTTTCTGCACATTTCGTTTGTTGTTTCATGTGATTGAAGAACGATCTCGTTTTGATTCGTTCAGTATTTTCTTGCTCACATCTCGATAGTGTTTAGGGTTGATTTGGCTTCTATAGAAGGATCTATAGAATATATAGAATCTCCTTTAGTATATTTGTTGATGATTACTAAGATTTGTAGTTATGGAAACTAGTTTAATTAGGTTAAACATTATTAGATCCTTGTATAATTGCAATTATCAGTTTAAATCGTACAATGGAACAGTGAAGATCATTTTTCTTGTTGTTTCTCTGTGATTTGCTTTGATTCTGGACCAATCCTGTGATTTAATCATGCGGATTTGTATCACAAAATGTAGATAGATCTGCAGATGTTTCAACCCAAAATCTAAAAACGAAATTTCGTTTATTCTGTGATGTTGCCAAATGGAAAATAGAGAAAGAAGTTGATAATATCATCTCCGTTGTTCTGCTTTGTATCAGTCGAGAACTTGCGAATTTCTTAGCACCGGGTGCATCTTGTGATGCTTATTGGCCAAACTATCATATTTAGAACATTGTGCATCTCCTGGCCTTTGATTAGAAAGAGGTTTTAAAGGTTTCTTGATGGATTGTATGCAAGAAGTGTCTTTGTTAACTTGGTAGAGGTTTCCCGAAGAATCAGTTTTACTTGTCGTATCTTCGTCCTTTTAACCGAAATATACTATGATTGGGGTTAGTAGTGTAAGAGTATTTTACAAAGAGCATTTTGAGTTGTGCTTTTATTTGAAAACTTGACCTATTACTTGTGTCAAGATATTTGGTTTCTTCATCTTCCTGATCTTGTTGCCAATATTAGAGTTCACAAACTTATGTATGCTCGGAACTCTTGCATTATAAAATCTGAAGTTGTGTCCAATTTTGGTTTGGTTGCAGGTTGCATCACTACAAAGGAGCTTGGGACTGTGATGAGATCACTTGGGCAGAACCCAACAGAAGCTGAGCTTCAGGACATGATCAACGAAGTAGATGCAGATGGGAACGGGACAATAGATTTCCCGGAGTTCCTGAACCTAATGGCACGTAAGATGAAAGACACAGATTCAGAGGAGGAACTTAAGGAAGCCTTCAGGGTTTTTGACAAGGACCAGAATGGTTTCATCTCGGCAGCTGAGCTTCGTCACGTGATGACAAATCTTGGGGAGAAGCTGACGGATGAGGAAGTCGATGAGATGATCCGAGAGGCTGATGTCGATGGTGATGGTCAGATCAACTATGAGGAGTTCGTCAAAGTCATGATGGCAAAGTGAGAATCTTCTTATCCCTCGAAATCCCAAGTCTGTTTATTTATTTCCGTCTTTAAACTGAGAAAAGTAATTTATTGAACCAAAAGAAACAGAGAGATTTGCTTCGTTGTTTGTTTTGTTGGTCGTAATTTTTTGGTAACGTTGCTTCTTCTTTATTTGATTGCTTCTTCCTTCATCTTCGGTTTTGTTATGTCCGTGAAGTTTGAACTCAAAGTTTGCTTTAGTCTCTTGACCATTTGATATTATTATTCTCTCTTTTCTTTTATATTTCGTGTTCATTGTGAAATGACTAATTGTCTTTATTTGGAAACTGAAATTATAGTGAAAAAAAAATAGCTTACAAGTTGCAAACGTGAACTGTAATTGTTTAAAATTTAGTGTCTTTGCAAGAACAATAGTAGAAGTTCTTGAATGATGAAAAGGTCTAACGAAAATTTAACGAAAAAATGATTTTCCCCAAAAACCACTTCAAGTAAATTTACCACTCAACAGAACAGAGAAAGAGGAAAATAATTTTGTCTTTTCCAAATAAAAATACTTTTTTTTCCAGCTAAACACATTTTTTCGTTTTAATAATGTCTTTTTTTTTTTGGGGGTCTATTTCAATCGCCCACTAAAGGCCCAAGGGTATGGTTGATAAGGCTGTTAAAAAGGTTGTGGGCTTTCACAGCTCTAGTATTTGTATCAACTATACTAATAGTACCCTAAGTTTTATTTTCTTAGAAAATTATTCTATACAATCATACTTTTTAGAGTAATAATTAAGACTCTTTTTCTGCAATCACTTGATATAGTCAAAAGTCCTCCATAAAATGGAAGTATAATAGGGTTGAATTATTATTATTTTTTTGGCGACGAACTAAAGAAACAGAACAAAATTGGCATTGTCCAATTCATCTCATCTCTAAACCCAAAGAAAAGAAGAAACCAACAACTCTTTTTTTTTTTTTTTTTATTGTTTCTTGTTCTCAGTCATGTTTGGGAATGCGCAAGTAAAATGCTAAAGAAGAGGAAGAAAAAGAAGAAGAAAAAGAAAAAGAAGAAGACCGAAAATGCAAAAAAGAATGAGAAAGAAATGATCCAGCTTAAACCCGCAAAGCCCGAGTCGCATCGCGTTCCTAGCCGTTTGAATCTCCTCTGCCATCGCTCTCATTCTTGCTCAATTCTATAGCTCACTGTCCTTTCAATAACTAAGAGGGAGAAGGGAGAAGGTAATAGTAGAGAACTTGTATATATCCAGGGATTAACCTTATATATAGGCTACATAATGAGCATAAAGAAAAGATTGGTACTAACGATTATGTACTTGGATTCAAACCATTTAGTTTAGTCTCATGAAAGAACAAATTAAGCTACCAAGTTAATATATATAAAATTATAAAAATAACTTAAAGTTAAATAGTTATAATGTCTGGTCGGGAAGTTGTATTAAGAACAACATGCAAACACATTTTATTTTCAATTAAAATATCAAATGAAACATAACTTTTCACGCCAACCACTTCACATAAATATAGCGTACGATTTGGAGAATCAATAACCATAGAAGAACTCATGGACCTTTATGATCTGAGTGACTCGATCAAAAATCTTTAGCGGGTCAGGTAAAGATTTCGAGATAGCGGGTCGGGTTAAGCATTTACGGATCCAGTCCATTAGCTTGGGAGTGTGATCCTCGACACTAAAACCACCAATCGTCTCCCACGTGTGGAACCAAGGGTAGTAGGAGATGAGGACCAAGTCCACCATCGAAACGTTGTCGTTTCCTCCGAAGTAGACCTTATCTCCAAGCTCTCTTTCTAACACTTTTAAGATCTCTATGAACTCTTGTTTCGCTTCTTCTTGTTCTTTGCCCCTCTTTGTCCATGTTCTTCTTCCAGCGTCAAAAACCTGTTTTTATTTATTTATATATATTAATCACAAAGACATTGAACTTTTAGTCTCTCCTTTCGTTGAACTTTTTATATACACACCATAACATTTAATATTATGAAGTATATAGTAGATCGTATTTGTTATTTTTAAGTATCAAGAAGAAGTTACACAAACCAAAAAAATAATGTTAACAGAAAATTTCTTATGCTATTCCCCCATGTTAAATTTACTACCAACAAAGAAATTACACTTCGCTAAAAATTCCTTATCTTTTGTATATCTCGTGTTATTCTCATAGTTCAATTTTGACCAAAACGTTAAATTTTTGGACGATACTAGTTTCAACCACACATAAATCTAGTAATTAGATGACCATGTAGTACTAGCCCTGAGACCAAATTATCCGGGATCCGGGATCCGATCCGGAATCCGCTCCGAAAAATAGGATATCCGGGTGGGACGGATCCGAATCCGAATAATGAAAAGCGGATCCGACCGGATCCGGATAATAGAAAAATTAAAGCCGGATATCCGGATCCAGAATATTTTATATTATAATAATATTTTTAAACATTTTATTACTATTATTTAAATTTTATTAATAATTTTTATTATCTTTTATATAATAATAATACTTTTAATAATATTTTTAATTATTTATGTTAAATTATTTGTTTTTTAATATTTTTCTTTAATTTTATATTAATAAAAAAAAATTATATAAAGAAATCCGGATCCGAATATCCGCCGGATATCCGGCTATTTTTACGGATATCCTAAATTCGGATTTCCGGGTGGAGCGGATCCGGATCAGAATATCCGCCGGATATCTGGGTGGAGCGGATCCGGATCCGGATAATGAAAAGTCGGATCCGGTTATCCTAAAAAAGCCGGATATGCGGATCCGGCCCACCTACTACTCAAATAATTAAAAAAGTGTTGTAGTGCCTAAATAATTCAGAAAGTATAGTAGTACCTTTTTGTCAATCAAATCAGCCCAAAATCTACACTGTGAGTTCTGATATGGATCAGAAGGTAGTAGACGGAGAGTCTTATCGTCTTTCCAGACCTCATCGATATATTCGACTATGATATTGGACTCGCATACAGGTTTACCGTTGTGGATGAGAACCGGGATTTTCTTGTGAACGGGGTTGCTTTGGAGCAATAGATCAGTCTTCTGACCAAACACATCTTCTTCCTTATACTCGAACTTGATCTTTTTCTCCTCTAACGCCATGATCACTCTTGCTCCGAACATGCTTGGCCAGAAGTTCAACACCACCACTTCTTCTTCTGACATTTTTTTTTGTTTGACCTTCTTCTTTTTCACCTTTTTTTTGGGGGGTTTTCAATGACTTTTCTTTTGGTGAAGTGTACTTGGTGGAGATCATCAAGCCCTTTGATGGCTTAACTTATAGAGGCAGTTGACAGAAAAAAAAGAAAAAAAAAATCATATAGAGGGTCTTTTTTAATAATTTCCGGAATTGAAACACTCAATAATGATTTTTATTTAAATTTTTTTTAATTTTTTTTTAGTGATGGGAAGTAAAGTCCTATCACTAAACTTGGTTCATTAAATAGATAAACCATAAAGAAGACAACGAACATAGAGACATTCATATCAATATCATATTAATCCAATAGATAACTTCGTTTGATACGTCATGATTTGCAAGTGGTTCTCTCTTTTCTTTTCTGTTTTTAACAGTAAGTGACTTGTCCACTTATAATCGGCAGTATATGAAAGAAAAAGCAATATTTTAAAGACATATATACGCAAATATGTTGTTGATTAACAATGTTGCAAGTGAAATTTGGAAAGATTATTGAACTGCTAAACTTCAGAAATAAATCAAGTAATGTTTTTTTTTTCATTACTGTTTATCATAATGATTAATATATCATAAATTTCAAAAAAAAAAAAAAATTTTTGTCCTTTTTAACATAAAGAACATGTTTTTAACATAAAAAGAGTTCTTGGTTTGCTCAACAAGCACATACTCTGCTATAGTAACAACAACAAAAAGAAAACTTCCAAATTAATTATTTTTTTACTTAAATCATTTACTTGCGTTTGGCTGCATATAGGACTCGTATAATAGGAGAGTCTTTAAAATAATACAGTATATTTTAATGCTGCTAACCAACTATATATTAATTTTTAATAGACTTTTAAATGACACCAGGAAGAAACATACATATGCTACTA